GCTTATACGCACCATCTAACAAAAAGAAAAGAAAAAAGGAAAAATTAATGACCAAATTGTTTAATTATAATAAAATTATTATGTAAGATATACACAGTAAAAAATTTATACTTACAATCTACCATAATAATTTTGAAATAAAATGACGAATTAGCATTTAAAGAAAGATACGGAAATTAAAATAATGAATAAAACAAAACCTCTACTCACAATCTATAATTGATGATTCTTGGTTGAGGTGTAATTCAGGAGTAAGCGATATAAATAAACAATGAAGTAAATTTATACTCACTGTCTATTAATTTAATAAGTAGAGTATTAGTTAAATAACGTGGAATGCAACATTAATGAATATAACCTATACTCACCGGCTATAATGTTTTATAGATAAACTAATTACTTTCATTTATTGAACCAAAAAAAAAAAAAAAAAAAAAGATAACGAAGAATGCAAAAGACATACCATCTAATAATTTAACATGAGAATACAAAGTCAAAGTTCATATAAGCGATCAAATTAAAGTTAACATTAGTTTCATTAATATGCTCACCATCTAACGATTCACCAAAGCTTCTTTAAAATGAGTTAAAATAATATATAATAACAAACACAGGTGTACTCTTACTAGCTGGTGATTTATATAAAAAATGGTTATAGTTAAAATATCGGAATACTGTAAATTGCAGAACGAAACGATGAATTTATACTCACAAACCAAAAAAAGATTAAGATCTATTAGCATACGTATTACGTAAATTAAATTAATAAAGTATAATAAATAAATTTCCACTTACGAACTTATTTATGCGAGAAAAAAAAGTTAATAGGTTAAGTTATTATTTGAGGGTAATCATAAACTTTACGCACCGTCTGTTAATTTATGTTGGTTTTAAAACATTAATAAATGAAAATATGCAATTAAGAAATGGAAATTTTAATTTATACCCACCAACTATTTACATGATAAATAGTTAATAATGTTTTAAAGTTTTTAATGTGATATAATATTATACTTACTGGCTAGTAGTTTCATAATAACAATATCAAAACATTGCGTTATTTATTAAAATGCATTGGGTAGTAAAGTACTGGATGCATATTAAATAATACTCACTCACTAATTATTTGAATGTCACCAATATTAAAATATTAACGTATGGCATTAAAGACATTATAATAGCAAGATAATATGTTTTGTGCTCACTTGCTAATAATTGACAAAATGGATAGTCAGTAAGCATCAATAAATATAGCTATAATAAATTAATCGTAAATTCACGTTACACGTACTTACTAACTGATGAAGAATATTAGTGGCAGTCATATTGGTTAATGTGCTTAATAATACGTGCTTAAATCATAAACTCAACTTTTACTCACGAACTAATAATATGTAGACAATATTAGTAAAATTGTATCTATTCCCGCTATAAATAAAATACTATAAATTATACTCACCAGCTAATTGTCAACAACAGCAAAAAAAGATGTTATTATGTTATTAGATGAATTGTTTAATTACAATATAATTAAATATGATACTTACTGACCGGTAATTTAACATAAAACGTGATAAAAATTTTAATTAGACAAATTAATGAACAAATAATAAACTCACATTAATTAAATAGTATACTTACCAACTACGATAATATGACGTACGCAGTTGTAAAATATATAACGTAGATGCGTGTTAATGATAACAGCTAATATTAAATTTAATAAAATAATACGTATACGTACAGGCTAACAATCCAATCAATAGTATTATTTGAACGATATTTAGTGGATAACGATAAATGATATGTTGTTATCTTTGTACATACCGACTAATTATTTAAGACAATAATAAATGTGTTATCGATATAGTTAACGTGAATATTTGAAAATAAGCGTTAATAAAATGCATGAAAATAAGTAAAATAAAATGGCAGGTCTTGTTATCTTACTATCTGAAATTTTTATAGAATTTTTGGTATTCATTAGAGAATTGTCTACCAGTAAATTGTAAAAGCGAGTTCATTGATTACTTACTTGCTAGCGTTTCGATGAAAGCGGTATTAATATTTATAAAATTTATTCACATGAAAAAAACACAATAATAAGTGTAAGCCTTAGGCTCACGAGCTAATACAAAAAGTTTTGAAATAATAAGCCGGCATTATTGCGAGAGAAAAGGGAAAAAAATGTACGATCAATATATATATTATTTTTAGATGGAGTTAATACTTAGTTAAAAGCAGACAATTGATACTAAATAAGTTTACATACTGTATACATACTATCCGCGTCATAAAAATTGAAGATGTCGCGTCGTTACTTATGAGCAGACCATAAGAGTAGGTACATGACTATACTTACCACCTATCAATTCAATAATATTATATTAACGTGCGATATTGTTTATTTTTTTTTTAGAATAATTGATATCTACTAGAAACGGGCACGGTGGTAATTAAGAAGAGAACTGGAACGAAAATAAAAGCAAAATAAAATTTAGTCAACATTATAGCTCAAATTTTTGAAGAAATTGATGACTGGATAGATAAAATAGAATCTCGCAAGTATTTATATAGTCAATACTACATACAACTCGGACTTATCATGTTCTGTTATGCATCATTCTGTTCTAGTACTGAACTGTAGAGTGGAGGCACGCGTTACATGCAATAAGGCGGATCGATTTTCCATAAATAGAAAACCAAATTGTATGACTAGAAAATTTTTCGCCCTGATTACGTACATCTGGTTATTTTACGTGAATTTTAATTAGATTATTATATTTAATATTACTGATTACCCCATTGAACTTCGAATATCTTTAAAAAAAGAATATAACTATTAACGCCATTCATACACAATGCCATGCTTGACAGTGACATATAAAACCTTGCTTGTAGTTTTGAGAATTAACAAAGAAATATTAAATCATTCAAATAAGAATTTTTTATCATCTAATTTCTAATGATTCAGAAGTTAAAAATTTATAGTTGTGTGAATAATGCAAATTCTTCAAAAAAATATCAGAAAAGTTCCAATGTATGTACCTCTCCGGAAGATCATCTATCGAAACTTAATTTCCACTATGTATATGGTATATTTCATAAGTTCTATTAATAGAAAATTTTTTGTCGCTTTACGAAAAAGGAAATTTCGCGCAAAAGGTATCAGGTGAGATATCGACCTCTTTATTTGAATCTCAATTCAGAATCAATCAATTTTTCACTTCATATTTGTGGCACCATTTGTCACTATCGTATGTTCATCCATCCTAGTTTATATACTGTATATATACATACATATATATATATATATATTGAATATAAAGAGCGGAATAAAGACACGTCTTTCCGGTACCTTATATTACGTATGCGCAGTGCAATTACACGCATATAAGAATAATTTCACCGCATATATGTAGAGTGCATAATGGATACAATGCGCAGTTTCTCAATGGGTCGCCGAAAGGTACGTACTGTATAATTCCACAGTACGTATTTACAACATATAATCAGTATTTTATCGAAATTTATAAAAAAAAAAGAAGAAAATCTGTGAAAATATTTATTATAATAAGTAAATATCCATATCAGAATATTTCAGTATGCAGCACAATTATTTGGGCGTCGAATATAGTAACATACTGAATATGAAAATAATTTGGTGTATTTTTTATGATCATTCAATCTTGAACAAATTAAGGCCTCTTTCTTTTCTTTTCTTTTTTTTTGTTTTTACCGTGCATGTGAAAGAGATACACATACATGCCCTAATTTAAAATATGAGTATGTAATATGTATATTTAATGATAAGAAGAATTTCGAAAATTATTGTACAGTATATATTCAACTTGGTAAAGGCAGTACAAACTTACCAGCAATTATCGAATGCGAATAATTGCGCGATCATTCTTCTGTTATTGCGTCAGTATTACTCTTTCTATAGTGGAGACGTATCGCATGATAAGAATAGCTAATTATATTGATTAGGAGTGTGAAGCAAGATAAAACTAGTAAGAAGAATGGCACTGTATCATATAATACAGCAGATAGGTAGTAAACAACCTGTTTTAAAAGTTTATAAAATAACATCAAGGATGGTTAATAATAAATTACGTCACCGAATCGCGGTAATAAGAGAAACTCACTTGAATAATTAGTAACGAAATATTACTAATAAAAATGCTAAAACATGACCCCCAGAAAATTTGGTGGTGTGCTTTATCAGAAAATGGAGCATTAAAAATTTTAATCCCCGTAATCTTTAGCCGTGTAAATCTCAGAGCTTCGACGTTAACAATCGCAATAATGAAAAGTACAAATGAGGTTTCATAATAAATGATCCATTTTGAAAAGTCCTTATACATGGTTTCCTTAAACACAATAACGATTGTTAAAACGGCGTTGATAATCAGTGGGAGTATCAGAAAGATCAAACTTTGTGATTTGTTAGGTACAAAAGAAAGAGAATATTAAAATAGAACCAAAATAGATCACAATTACAACATAACATATTAATACGTATATACTATATATACCTTGGTATATAGAGTGATGGTATATCATTCCCGTGCACAATGACAAAGAAAATCATAAGAATAGGATTAATGGTATTACAAGTAAACTGGAATATTATAAAATAATCCTAATATATGTGTACAGTATATTATATTTTTTAATAAAAATGCGTCGACAAAAAAATGTATTAATTAAAAACTTACTTCAGATTCCTCTTTCCTCGCCTACATACGTAAATATAAAACCGCATAGGAATTAATTTATTCAGTATTTTATTGATATACGTATACACGAACAGCGAAGCATATTTAGTCAGAAACTCGCCACTTGTACCTTTTTTCCCCTACCATTCTAATGACAGAATGAATATTAATTGATATTTACACCGACAAGAAATACTCGATTAACACTTACTCTGCATTTCTTTATTTGCACCCATAAAAGTCTTGGAATGCATAATAAGATAAGTACGATCATAAAGGTCAACGCAATAATACACTGAGTTGTATATCTTTCCCATGGATGTTCTAGAATAGTTACCTATAAATCAATTACATCATAAAATTCATCGACGAATAACAAATAACTCACTTATTACTTCAAAACCAAAGTTTTTGTCTAAGTCATTAGTAATAGAACCAATAGAGATGCTGGTAATTTTCTTATTTCTGATCATGGTATCCAAATCGGAGAATACCCCCGAAACGCTTCTTTCTGTGCTGTTCATCGGTTTATGCACATAGATGGAGATAAATATCTGTTCAAGAGGTGTTCCATTTTTGATATGTTGATAATTGCCATTCGAACTTAATCGAGATGATCTGACCGGCACCATATTAGCAAGTTCGCTTATTAAATTAGAAAAGTACGCCGACCTTTCTGGTCTAGAGAGTCCCAGAAATCTAATCGTTGCTTTTGGAGTAAGATAAAGCGTACCGCTAATTGCACCTGAAAGAAAGGTCGCATGAATAATAATGAAAAATCAAATTCACACGTCCTTATATGTCCATAGACATTTTACCTGAGGTTTTTTCTTCTTTAAAATCTGATGAATTTAAGCAAGCAGTTGTCGGGTAGTTAATGTGGCGAGTAAATCGATTCATAGTAAGCCTGGTTCAAATTCAGAACAACAAAATTGGATGAACTACCTCCTGCTCTTAAGACCCAGACCTTACTCTCGATCCCTTTTAACGGTTCGTTAAAATTTCTACTCTTTACGAAATTATTATCTATTTGAATGTAATACTGTTCACCGGGCTTATTAAATACGCTACTTATTACAATAATTGTAACTGTCATTCCATTTGTGCTAACACTGAAGAAGCCATTCATTGATCCGGAGACCATTTGTCGAAGTGTGCCAGTAGTAAGGTGATAGATGGAGAGATTTGATTCAGATAGATTGATGGGGTCATTGAAGGTGATGCTGATCGTTGTCGCATTAAATGGTTCGACGGTACTATTAATTTCTGGAACATTGTAATTTATCTCGAGATTGCTGTAATAACCATCTGTAATCAATGATAATAAAATTAGCATAGTATACTGCACATGGAGGCCAACAGAAGCTAGCAATTACTTACTAAAGACAAGATGAACTATTGGCAATCGATAATTATATAGAGTCCAAGAATTTCTCTCATTACTAGTGTTAGCAGCAAATAATAACGTATTATTACTAGTAATACACATCGCACTATATGGATTTATAGGAGTCGGTCCAATACTGCCTATCAGAGTTTCATTGTCTTCATACGCGTAGAGAATTAAGTAATTACTATTGGTTGTACTATTATAAGGTGTAAAACTAAGGGTGTATCCACCAAAGGACATATAGCTTATAGTCCAACCGCGAGCATGACTAGTGGGCACTCCCGGATAAACATTTGTTACCGCTCCCGATGACAAGAAGAACACATTCTGGTAATATAATACTGTACCATTTTTCTTTGTTGTTTGACTCATTCTCAATGTACACACTTGACCGATGCCGGCAGATACTAGGCCACAAACAATATAATCCATTGTTATATTCAGTAATGTTTGGTATAGAATGCATGGATTGCCAATATATTTTTGATTTGGGGGTAGAAAGATAGCATACATCCCACTACTCGATAAAAGAGGATTGGTATCATTGTAACTGCTGTTGGCGTATATTATTGCATAACCTTCATCAATAGTGGCAATTACTGTAAATGTTAGGCTCGTAAAATTATATAATGGAATGGTGTCGTTGAATATCATTGATAGTTGTCCGTGATTGTCGCTACGCATAAGTTTATAATAAAATTTAAAAATTTAAGAAAACCGAGACTATGTAAAACGAACTTATAAAATAAATAGATCATTCAAATTCAATTTTTTTTGGTATACAGTTTGAATTTTCATCGCAGTAATGTTTTGTAATTCGTGAGAATTTTTTAAAAAAATTTTAACAATAAAATATCAAACCTATTTGTAAATTGTATTTTAAAAAATTATAAAGGCGAAATAAATCCATAAAAAAATCAACATTTAAACCAATACAACTGTTTACGGTAATATTAAGTTGACTGATTTTAAATTAAGAAGCTGTTCTTTAACTGTATACAAAAATTTCAAACCATCTCACAATAGAATCCTCAATCAACGAATTATATTTTAACTGCCTCCGATTGTAACTTCGCGTTCAGTAATTTTTCTTCTCAGAGTTTTTAATTATTTTCAGTGGAACAATATGCATGATGGCGATACGTAATACTGCATATCAGATGATTAACTTGCGAATAAAGAATAACGGAATGAAAAAATTTTAGTCCGAAAGCGAGGAAAAATCTTCAATTATAAATAGAATGAAATTTCTCTTTTCTTTACTCACAACTATCTGCCTCAAAAACAATAGTTCGAAATATTAAAAAATTGTAACAATGAACAATAAAACAATTGCGACAAAAGAGATGCCAGCTTGTATAAACCACACAATCAAGACCACTCCAAGTAGCATTAATATCGGCAAAGTCATCTTGCCATTGCTTTCCATCCATTTGACCAAAATAAACTCATTATAAAACGTGTGAGCCATCTGGTTTTTGCAGTTTGGAAGCTTGGTTTGCCAAAGCTCGTACTTTTTTGCATGAGGTCATCGAAAAAGCAACTCGTTTACCTTCCTGAAGCATCTTAAGACCCATGCATATAGCTTCCGATCCTTTATCTGGATCGTAAAGAATTTCAACAGTCTCACCTTTACGTAGTTTATATTCGTTATCAAAAATTCTTATATTTCCACCTCGATATTGTCTCAAAAAGTTTAAAGTTGATTCATTTGCAAATGTGTCCATAGAAATAACATGAACAGCCGATTTTAATAAATCCCGCATAGCATTTTCAGATTCACGCGCATGAAATCCACTAGACTTTTGACGCATATGAAGACCGTACAGATTATGATTTACAAAATTATTTTTAGAAATCAATATTGAGGAACTGCTGAGAATACTTCTAGAAGAATTATTCTATCATATTATTCCAGAAGATCTCGTCAAAGCAAATATATTAAATGAAGCCCAGTGTGTGGTATTTATTGAGATATTGGGCCTTATAAACTGAAGTGTATGGAATGTACTGTTTGTGAATGGTCCTGCTAAAAGTGGAAAGACTTATCTCTATAATTGCCTCCTTGCTTAATCATCAGGTCACATTGGTGATAGTTTTTTCTGGCATTACTGCATTGTCATTGCATGTTGAATACACTGCACACTCTCAGTTCAAAATACCATAATAGCATTATTTTCGTCTAAGATAACTACATAAGAACGCCTTCCATAGAAATTGAGACGATGGGTACTTTCAACTTGGACAATAATAAATCACCCTCATTTTCCTGATAATGGCATACACGGAGTCCTGAATTTTGCACATATCAACTTTAGCTTTAGTCTCATTGCTAAGAGTTTTACGATATGAAACCCAGATAAAACAAGGAAAATCTGCTCCATTTTTGGCCAAGGAATCGAGAATTTCTCTTAGTGTTTTTGTTTTGCCATTAGCAACGGGAGAGTAAATAAGAGTTGTAGTGAGATTCTCACTTAAGAAATCGGGATAAACTTCTGGTGCATCTTTCATTTCCTTTATATTGATGATTTTTCCAGATAATTTGACAAGTGGGCGTGGATTTAACATGGCATTGGGTAATCTTTCAATTAATCCCCACTTAGGCTTTTCTTTCGACTCAACTTTGTCTGATACCTTATCGAAGCTAAGGCCCTTGTGTCTGGTTTGAATTGTTTTTGCCAATAACACTTAAGCATAAAAAGTCCATTTTTTTTGAATAAATCCATATAGTTGATTTTTTTCGTGTTTAACATCACATATAGGGCAATTGTTTATCGATTTTGCTTCAAAGTTGATGAATCCTTTCTCAAATTTTCCAATCTGGAGCCACTAATAATTTTCAATAACTAGATTGGCTCCTCTACTCGAAGCATTTTCATTATCAATAGGTTGGAATTCTTTTACTGACTCCTCGGAAGAAAAGGTTTGTGGCCAAATTATGGAATAATTCTCTCTAGGCTGAACCAGATAATCATCTAACTTTTAAAATACATTTTTGATAGAAAAAATAGCAGGTTTTTTTATGCGTTCTTCTTTTGCTGATCCAAGGAGCCAAAGCTAAAACGCGATTTGGGAAGTCCAACATCAATGAATTTGGAATAAGGTTCTCCAACTAATTTTATAACTTTTTCTGTAAAACCTTAAGTTCTTTATAATCTATGAATTCAGCCTGAGGATAAATAATATGCCAACTACATTTCTCAGCATTTGACGAGCTTGCTAAAGCAAAAGAATTTAATAAAGGCATACATTCTGATATTAGGCTTAATTTATTTGCACAAGCGACTAAAATTTGAGATAACAAATCTTTTTGCGTAATTTTTTCACTATCTAAAGTAGGGAGCTCAGAATTTATATGATCAGATTTTTGCCTTGCATCAATATCGATTATTAAGTGAAGAGACCAATTTCCATCAATACATTCATGTGTATTTGGCATTCTATAAACTTCAGAAGGATGATCGATCACTGTATACTCTTTTCTTGCCATCTAAATTATATATTGAGAATAAATCTCTTCAGGTCAATATGTATCTAAAAGTGCTGTATTATTTTTACCAGTATGGCCATTGGATGCATGTCAGTATTTATAAAATGTATGTTCTTTATAACCGAGTTTATCATCAAGGTCTGTTAAACCTATAAAAAGCCATTTTGCTTCATTATATTCAGCAGACTTTTGATTTAAGTACTGTTGTTGTAGACTCAAAGAGCTATGATCCTTTAGGGTCAACCTTTCAGGCTTAATTAGCAATAATTATTCACAAACATTTTTTGCTTCACTAGACAAACTCATTTATAGATTTGTATATACTGTATGTTATTTGTATACGCGTATTGTTTTATCTGACAAAAAGTATATGTATACAGTAATGTTCTCAAAAAAAACTCTTTCCCATAACTCTCTTTTTCTTAAAAAATTTTCTTGTAAGGAAATTTTCCCAAGGAAAAAAGTAAACAATGAGAATTAACAATTTTAAAGATTAAATACAATATGGGGAACTTCTCTATAGAAATAAGCTTTCTCTACGATTCTACATTCAAGTACTCTGGACCTGCAGAACAGCTGGACTAAATAAAGGAGCTCTTTGCCAAATAGATAGACAGGACTTCTTCTGTCTGCTTTAGTAACTCTAAATGACAAGTCTTCTCACTTCCACTTGACCCAGGCTCCTCTAAAAAGAAGAGAAAATGTCATTCAAAAAAAGAAAAATTTCAAGGAAACAAGAAGCAGGGTAAACCAAAGGATAAACAACCTTTGCCTAAACAATCTCTGCCTCTCAAGGCATATAAATGTTCTGAGTATAGTAAAGACTTTATCAGTCACACTTCATAAAAGAAATATTTCAATAAATATTACAAATCAAATACTATGGATGTTGATAAACATGCCAAGTGAAGAAAAAAACATAAGGCAGCCCATCAAAAAACCAAGGCCAGTTCTGTTAAAGTATTGACTTGGAAGCCTCTCAGAAAATATTCAAAACTGATTATAATAAGCTCAATAAACAGACAGTGTTTGAATTAGTAAAGCAAGTGGGGGATAAACTTGGTGAATATTGGATTTATCTATCTAAGAAAAGAGAGATTGGTATTCACATCACAATTACACTTCTATCTGTGGTTATGAACTAACCATTTGAGGCTTCAAGACTTATTTAAAGTCTATCTCTTATATAATTAAAAGCTATTCAAAGATAGGTTTGATAAAACAATCAATAATCTTTGATTTCTGTTACAAATACAAATTTTTGTTAATAGATATCTAATGCGAAGAAGTTGACTTAATTAATGAAACTTTTAGGGATGGTTAGAAGGTAAGACCCTATCCCCATTATTACTATGTTTAAGTTGATAATAAACTAAATATTATACTGGCAGAATGTCTAGTAACATAGAGAATTTTTGATAACCTTTCTATTGGAAACCTTGATAGAAGAAGGAATTCACTAACCACACTGAAGTGTATAAAATCTATAACACAGATTAGAGTATAATAATAGTTTAATAACTAGATTACTCTTTAAAATTGTTCTATGAAAAATTAAGAGAGTACCAAATATCTTTCTTACAGTATAGTTTTATATAGATACATGTGAGATCTTGTATAGAAATATTTTAATAAAGAACACACATGGAACACCTTATTTAAAAACTTATTAAACAAAAGCTTTCTCAATAAATTGATCAATAATAAGCTACCAAGACTAACAAAGCTAGCCATAAGAAGATTAGATCTTTATAAGCAAGAGAAATGCATTACATGTAGCCAGGAAGAGGAAACAATAAAATATTTGCAAAAATGTCTAACTTATAAGACTCAGTAGAATGAAGCATGGCAAAAAGAAATAAAAGGAGTCTTGAAAGGATTCGGAAAGCTCTTAAAAGAAAGAAAAACTGAATTGTAAGAGAAAGAGTTAAACTTAAGAATAAAGATAGGATAAAAATAGGAGAAATCAATAAACAGATAGCAAAACTGATAGAAAGAATCTTAGAAACCAGTTAGGACATACTTAACTTCTTTATGAGATCAATAGAAAAAGAACTAGTTACAAAAATAGTAAATTTGACATGTTATGGCAAGATAATCAAAAAAAAAAGCAAGAAAATAGATAATAAAGATGCTAAAAAATGGATAATAAAGATGCAAGAAAAAGTACATAATATCTTTTGACAGAAAATATAAAATACAAGATGTGAAAAGATGAATGAAAACAGAAATCAGGAATCTGTAAATACATCAATATAAAAAGACTATCATATCTACAAGACTAGGAAAGAAGAGCAAAAGTATAGAAAGTTAATCCAGTAAAAAACTGATATATAAAGAAAAAAGTATCGAAGACAAGAAGTTGGAATAAATCCTGTTAAATGGAGTGAAATATGATATGAATGGATGGGTTTTGATCTCTGTCAGAGCTCAAAAGAGTGATCTGTAATAGTGATCTGTGGGCAATGATGTTGGAAGTTAGAAGGGTTTTTACTTGAATCTCTAATGAAGTGATAAATCACTCCTGAAGTTGCACTTAGAGAGGTAATAAAACCAAAATGAGTGAGGAAGTTAGAGATTTAGCTTTAGTGTTTCATTTAATATGTACAGCATACAAATGTTTGATAAAGCACACATAACTAACAAGACAAATGGTTTAAAAAAAAAAAGTATACCTATGTAATAATCTTAAATTTGTTTATATAAATATTATTACAAAAAGTTTATTTGAAAAATAATTATTTCATATATGCAAAATTGAAAGTTATTGATTATTTATATTAGCATGGAATTTTATTCTTGTCTATATACTTTTATTGATGGATGTATTTGTTGAAAAGGTTGCTATCATCAATAAGGATATGCTCTTCATTGGAAAATTTAATCCCATACTCCATGTAGTAAATGTGATATGCCAAATAGATCTTTATATGGCATCTGTGTGAAACATTCAGAAAAATATCATAGAAGAGTCAATTATAATCAAAAAAAGCAAGAGTACAAAAATTGTTATGCTTGAGAGTCATATATCTGACTTACCCGATTCTAGGTATAAAATATAATCATATGCTTGCCATATACTGATTATTTTTCGCAGGACTCCCGCCTTCTCACAGTGACTACTCGAAGCCATAAAAAGGTAGATAGCATATATTTTACTCATAACATTCTTTCTTTTTTTTAGAGATTTTTATTTTTTTAAACAGTATATTTAGCTAAATAGCTTTTTTATATATTTTTTTTCTGAGAAACAAAGAGAAAAAAGAGGGCTATGGATTCCAAGACTTTATTTTGGGAGAAGTATCACTTCCTGCCTGAACGATCTCATGTCTTATTCGCCTCTATTTTCTGATAGAATTACAATAACCACAACCCATTCAATTTTGATTATAGGAGGAAAAGAGGTAATTAATTTCGATTTGAAAAAAAAATCTCTTTAGTATATAACCTAAAGCACTGTTTATAAACCACTTGGCCATTATAACATTCAATAATGTCAGCTATTGCAACTAAAATCGTAGAAAAATATAATATTAGCTCTGAAATGAGTGTGGCCAATCTCAATCAATATGCCTCATAGTTTCTCGAGAATCTAGAAAGTGGAATTAGGTACGCAGACACCTTCGAGATGGTTTTAAATTTACCGATTATCAGATAGATGTATTAATACCTAATCAGAGAGGTGGGAAAAATAAACTATAAATTTAGTTGAAGGTAGTTGTAGAATAGTTGTAACCAAGCCCCCAAAAAGTTCAAAAGAAGAGATCATTAGAGAGAAAGCAAAACGAATTTTGCAAGATAAATATGAGTTTAGTGAGGGTCAAGTGGATAACTTATTCTTTATTCAGAAAAATGTCCAACCAAAAAGCAAAACCATGCATGAAGTGCCCTGTTCCACAGTAAACACTGTTATTTCTAAGAGACAAAGTCTCCTTTCTTTGAAAGATCGGGTCCCATAGAAACAATTGGAAAGATGGCGTATCAGCTTTTGCGAGATAAGCTTAGTATTCGGGATATAAGAGCTAAAGTTTTTGCCTTAGCCCTATCAGCAAAAAATGCTAATGCTAGTTCATCACGTCTTTTCCGACTCAAAAGAGAATTAAGAAGCCTTGGTGCTTTACTCACAATAGTCGAGGCCACGAAATTTTCAGATTTAATAGAAGAAGCTTACAAAATTCAGAGGAACAATCAGAAAAAGGCTGAAGCCAATCATATTGATTATTTGCATTAGAATCAGTCAAAGAAAGATTAAATGCATATGATTTAAAAACTTCGCCCAATTATTGGGCTCTTGCTGATGTCATGGTGATGCTTTGTATTCGTCCTGCTGAGTTTACAACTTTGCGTATTACAGATGCTGGAGTAACAGGATATGCGAAGAATCGGAGTCAATAAGATACTCCTAGAAAATTTAGATCTATGGAGAAGAATCAAGAAAGAGCCAGAGAATTACTTACCTGGATTCAGCGTGCAATATCTTTTGGCCGAATGGGTAATCCAGGTAAGCCAGGAGTTAAATGGTTCAATGGATTCTTAAAAGACTATGGTTTAATTCCCAAATACTTACAAAAAATGGGTGCTGTTTATGGTGTGGTAACACATAAGGCTAAGAATATGGCTCACGCATATACAGTACGATTGCTGGAGAATGTTTAAGGCATTCGAGTGACAATCATACTTCTCCAGTACAAAACTACATTGTAGTAAACTACAGAAAGCAGGAACAAAAACCTGAAAAAGCGAGACCATTCCGCCTTTATGATGATGGTAATTAATTATGCTTCTTTGCTTACTGTACGGCCACCACATTTACAGTTAATCCTAATCATCATTGCCAAAGGTAGTCACTTCGTAGTTAGATGATTCAGAGTCGGACCCAGATTCAGAGCTAGATGAGGACTCCGATGTGGTATCAATTAAAAATTTTCTTTTTTTTTAGCCTTGTATCGTGCATGATTTCTTTGAGGAATATCCAGGTTTGCTATCGAGTTTATAAGTTCTTGACGAACCTCAGGTTTTACTATCTCTAGTAATCAGTGAAAGAGATCCAGATTTTTTTACCTGATACTTGCTTAACAATATCAGATACTGATTTATCGATAATATTTGGTAAACTTTTATCTTTTACAAAACCTAATTTTTTCCAATCTCATAAGTTATAATTGGATATTCTGAACCTGAATCAACTATGTCCTCCACAACTTCTTCATTAATGTCAATCAAACATCATTTAAAGTTTTTTATGGATTCTTCCACTGGGTTGTCATCAATATTGTTATTAGCTTCAGTCATTGTAAATGCGAATTATTATTTATTAATACGAATTTAAAAATACAGAATTAAATATATTAGAAAAGTTCTGGCGCATATTGAAAAACGATTCTCACACTAATGATTAGGGTAGATATGTAAAATATATATATATTAACCGATAATTTATTAGATATTTTTTGTTGAATCAAATAATGTTGAGCCATTTCGTAAATGTGGTCAGGACAGTGTTATATAGCAATAAATCCCGAAATATACATGCAAAGTAAACGTGAATATGTTTGCGAAATCGAGTCACAAAGACTGACTTTATTGATATTTTAAAAGTACTAATATTCGCCAAGTATGAAAAATATGTGCGTTAATTTTATCTGATTTGCTAAACACTCTGATTGAGGGGATCATGTGTGTAGGTTATGTATTAGTCACATTAATTCGATGAACAGTTACACATCCCAACACTCGGTATGTAGCATACGAGTTAACAAACTTTATTACATGCATATACGATGAATGCTAATACGTACGATCAAAAAGAACACATCACTTAAGCAAGTTTCCCACACATAAAGTTTATACCTAACACTATTACTTCTCTTTTTCATTAATTACATCTTTAGTACCCTCTTTATTTGGAGTTACAAATGTCTTTGATGTAATGATCCCAGGAAGTGTGTGATATCCATCTTGATCATCAGCATCAGAATCATCGAGAAAATTTTCGGGATCAACATCATCTTTCTTGTTT